AAGTGTTCGTTTTGTACCAATTCGAATCATTTTCTTCATTTGTAATGTGCGCTCTTTGCTGTGTCTCCGTGCCGCTTGCTTCCCTGTATCATTCAAAGGCTATTGGCAAAAAATTGTTGAAAATTATCGGAAACTAAAGTGATATTGCATGAAAGTGATATTGCATGAAATCGTCATTGTAGAATCTCATGTGCGAAAGTGGATTGAAGTTGGCCTTCTGGTTTAATGATTCGAATTGGAACTCCTTGATCAGTTGCGATCACAGTTCGATGAAAGAGATCATCACATGAATGAACGATACAAAGCGCTTTCATGAAATTCCACTTATGCCAATTAATCAATCGTAATTTTACTCACTTGAGAGCCATTATAAGTAAATGTGATAAAAATTTCTCGAAAACAGGAAATATTTCAACCCCGCAGATGGTTTCACATACGACCTATCCGATTGCAACATTATTGGGAACAGACTTTCGAAGAATGATTCGCTTTACCTTTGCCGGATTTCCACGGCAGACGTCCCGTACTAAATTCAACGTTAACGTATAACCAAGATTCCAAGTCATCGCTTCTACCTTAACTTTTAGTGCTTTATAGCAATTTTATGCGAGGCAACATTTTAGACTGAATAAACTGGACAGAGTTATCAATTTGCTGTCGACGAATACACTGTTAGCTTACTGTACGGTTGGCTTCCATAATGAACACAGCTATTTTCGATGCACAAAACTGACACAAATTCCAATTAACCGCGAATTTTCACTTGGAAAATGCGAAGCAGCAACTTCCAATGTATGCACTAACCGAGTTCCTTCTTTTGATGAGCTCTTATCGACGCATACCGTGTTGTGCCCTTAAATCCGGCATTTGCTGACGGCGGAATTATACTACCATCCTTAAAGTGGTCAGTCTGAACATGTCGATCAAAACAGTCACATGTGGTGAAAACTGGTAGATCAATCATTGCATGTTTAAAATCCGCATAGCTTATGTTAGTAAAATTAAAAGCTACCAAATGATTTTATCAGAATGTTCCGATGAAATTTCAGTTAACTTACTGTATTTCAGTCAACCAAAAAGTGTATAATTTTAAACTCATATCTGTTGAGATTAATCTGAGAAGGATCAGTGACTTCACAAAACTAGCCTTGTTCTTATAAACTCGAGATAGTCCAAAGTCGAACAGAAAAATATTTCTTCTTTCATCGCCTCTTCCTATTGCAAAATTACTTGGTTTAATGTCTCTGAAACCGAAAAAATTCGTCTTTTAGTGAGACACAACGTAAATCAAGATATATCAAGTCCAATCATGCATGACATATTTTTGGAAGCAAATAAAAAATTCATGTATTATGAATAAACACTCGCCTAGCCTCTTGTTTATGATTTTGATCAAGAGTTAAGTATAGGGCATAAAATTTTTTAATAAGGGATCAAAAATTCATTTATCGAATTCTCGAATAAACAAATGAATGATGCATGAATAAATT